GAGTGGGCAGCCGATCCACAGCTTGTCAAAACGCTTGGAGCGTTGGGCTGAACACTTTGCAAGGCAATTTAACAAGCCTGAGTTATCGCTTTCTTCTTCGGGCATTGAGCGCCCTTCTCCTTGGCCCGTCTCCTCGGATCCGCCCTCACGCGCAGAGGTCGAACGTGAGATCTGGCCGTCGATATTGCATAAGGCTGCAGGGGCAGATAGAATTACCCCACCCATCTTCAAATTCGTGGACCTGCTCTAGTAGATGATCTACACGAGTTCCTAGTAAAACTTTGGGAGCAGGAGATAGTCCCGACAGACTGGAACCGCTCCGTCATTGTCCCAATTTTCAAGGGAAACTTCCGTTTGGAATGCGGCAATCATAGTGGGATCAGTCTGATTTCGATTGCCTCTAAATTGCTTGCCTCTCTCATTCTCCACAGACTGACTGGCACTCGTGAAAGCCAGATTCGTGAAGAGCAAGCCGGATTTCGTCGAGGTCGGGGCTGCATCGACCACAGTTTCACATTGCGTCAAGTGATGGAGCACCGCCATGTTTATTGGCGACGCACCATTGTCGTGTTTCTTGACATAAGAGGTGCCTTCGACTCAGTCGATCGATGTGCCCTTTGGGATTGTCTACTCAGGAAAGGTGTGCCTGATAAATATGTAAACATTATCAAAGCGCTGTACGCGCATAGTTCGGGCAGAGTGAGGGTTTATGGCAAACTCTCGCCACCCTTCAGTATCACCAGTGGTGTGAGACAAGGATGTCCGCTGTCACCTTTCCTCTTCAACTTCGCTATTGATGAAGTCATGGAAACAGCTTTCGCTGGACACGACCTAGAAGGTGTGGAGCTACTTCCTGGTGAGCGACTTTTGACTTGGAGTATGCAGACGATATTGCCCTAATCTGTGACAGCTCCCAAACATGCCAAAGAGCACTGGACCGATTAGCACTGGCTGCCAATCATTTTGGGCTGTGCTTTGCTCCATCGAAATGCAAAGTACTTCTCCAAGATTGTCAGGGACCCAACCCTGCGCTAACGCTTGGTGGTGATCTGCTAGAGGTCGTTCAGGAATTAAAGTATTTGGGCAGCTATATTAGCACCCTTGGGATTGAAGATGAGGTTACGAACCGCATAGCAAAAGCTGGAGCTGCTTTTACCAATCTCCGCCACCTGTGGCGCAGACGCGACATTACTCTCTCCCTGAAGGGCAGTTTACAACTCAGCCGTCCGTTCTACTCTCCTATATGGTTGTGAAACCTGGCCCATCAGGTCGACAGACATGAGGAGGCTCGTCACATTCGATCATCGCTGCCTTCGCAGCTTAGCTCATGTGTGGTGGGAACACCGTGTGAGCAATGAGCGTGTTCGACGTCGCGTTCTTGGTACAGGAAGAGCGAGTGAACCGCTCAGCACCATTATATCACGCACCAGGCTCCGATGGCTGGGCCACGTGTTGCGTATGCCAGCACACCGACTCCCGTGACGTGCATTGTTTGCGCGTTGTGGGTGCGGTTGGAAGAGGAGGAGGGGAGGCCAAGTGATGACTTGGTCGAGAGAAATGAAAACCCTCACTTCGAAGTTGGCATCGGTTGGCGCATCCCGATTGCCTGGCTGGGGTCCTAAGGATAGTGAACACGTTTGGTTGGACACACTCGCTGATGTGGTTTGGAGCCGGTCCCAATGGCGTTTGTGTTGTGATTTCCTTTGTCCATCCCCCTCCTGTTTAGTATCCCCCTCCAATCACGATCTCACCTGTTAGGCATAATACGATTCTCTTTTACGGCAGCCAGCTGTTAGCTCTCCGGAACGATGTCCATCCGTTACTGGGGACTCAGCGGGCGTGCCACTGTTTTCCTTTTCTTTTCTTTTGTATTGCGGCACAATAGCTGAGGTGTTTTCCACCTCCAGCTAACGTGTAATGATGATGATGATGATGGTTCTAGCCTAACGAGGAGCAGACGGAATGCGCACTACAGATAGTTATATTAAAGATGTAACTGGCAGCTACTGTTTTTTCATGTATGCACTGGTTGTATGCGTGTGACCAACGAATTTGTATTGAAAATGTAAATCATAGAGAAATCATGTGTTTATAAAATACAGTAGACTAAAATCTTGACTATGTTGATTAACTAATCCGATGCAGAGTAGGTTTTCAGAAACCAGTGTGCAGCATGCATGATAAGCGTCCACCTGTCTGCACAAATGGAAGGCTTGCCCTCCTTTTTGCGTTTGCTTTTAGTCACTCGCAAAAGTGAACTAAGAGCTGAACTGGTGGAAATGCCTAGTTATGTCAGATGTTATCGCAGTTAAACCTCCGTAAGTTAACCACTCTAGGGACTGGACTAAATTGGTCAACTAACAGATCCCATCCACAAGCTTTACGTGATGTACGTTAAAGCAATGAGCAATAAAACGGTCAACTTCGATTTTACTTTGTGCATCATTAACACTACCGGTTTTTGCCTTCATTAAAATTTTACTTCCTGTATCTTCGAGTGATCGTTTGGGCACTCTGCGTACCTGTATTCTATGCCCCTGGACGTCCCATTAAGGCAAATTTAAGACAAATTTCGGTCCCTCAGCAAATTTTAGGCGTAGCTCCACAGCTTCAATATTATGTGTCGGCCGGTGGCCGAATGGTCTGCACGCCTGGTTTGCAACCATAAGGTCACCGGTTCGAATCTGCGTAGGGGCGGGCGTCCTCGCAGTATACTCAGCCCACGCGCGACTGGTGGTGGTCGCTTGACAGCGAAGCGCCGTTACGGCGTACAGCTGGCGGTTTACTTTAGTTACTTTACTTTCAATATTATATAAATGCGGTTTGGGGATCGATTTCCGCCTAGTGTAGAGGCTATTTGCAGCCAGCAAAAATGCGTTCACAATGTATGTTGAGGCTGTACTAGTACATGTTCTCAGTGATTAAAATTTCCACATGCGTCTGACTGTGAGGTCCAGAGGCATAGAAAACCATCACTCAGAGCTCTAACGGTCAATACAGCGGACATTTTTCGTTCACTCGTATTATGCGGGCTTACTGCAGGTTTTATAGTGCTGGGTTGCGCAACACCATGCGCCTTATGACCATAGCCCTATACCGGACACCCGGTGGTAATTTTGTTCCCCTAGCGCAATCGTCACTTGCTATTAACGAGGCAGAACACTTGTAAGCAAATGACGAAACACCACGTGCACGGATACCTAACAGACCGCTAAGTATTCCCTTAAAATAAACACTGACTAATTACAAGGGCGCTACGAAAATCCGTCTAATTTCGGCGACTTGTCGGGTGTCTTAGCTGGGCAGCGACATATAACATTGTCTCCTTTGGAACGGACCTGGTTACTTAGTATGCACTACCAAATTGGCTGGCGCGTATTGATGCTCAGGTATGCGCGTGCCTCGCACCATCAAACTGCAATATATCGTTGCATACCTGATCCAGTTCACTATTTCTCACTCTCACCAAACTGCCACTTATAGTTGGCAACCGGATAACTACATAACCGTATCACTGATTCACCGAAACTCTCACTTCATGCATTACTAAAGCTCTTATGGCTCTCATCTAATTATGGAAAAGTCTTAATGCCAGTTCATCGGTTAGGAGCAAGGTTTGCACTTATCCAGAGCGATTAGTTTTACTATGTGAATTGGGGTAGCTCGCTGCGCTCCGTGGCCATTAAGTGTCTAATTGTATTTCCTCGCTGATTGCAAAGATGTCGCCCAAATTTTGTGGATGGACCGGATAATTGACGCGAAAATTCGTCATTTGACGTTCGGCGACGGACTTCCTTTTTGAAGTGCCTGATGACCTCTAATCCCTTCCATTAGCTCGGCAACGTGCTTCGCATGCTTGCGAACCGGATGCCTAGGCTTGTACTTTGGAAACCCCTAGGTGGCTAGTCAGTACCATCTCAGATTGATATGTGGTAACTCATGAAAAGCCTGAATCGTGTTGGCTCTTGGCAGCCCTGCGTTTAACCACTAGTGATGGGATACCTTATCAACTATAGTGCAGCCACGAAGTTAGGGGCACTCATCCATCCGTTTCCAGTTTTCAGCCCTAACTATCCCACCTATCGGATTCGCTTTTTTCCTCCTGGCTGGCGTCGTTATAATCACTTTTCTTATTTTAACGACGGATGTCAAAGCAGCCAGGTCTGTCCCTTGATGATAGACGAAGCCGAACCAGATTGCAGCAGCATTACTTTTGGCTGAATGGTCTGCTGAGATTAGTCCACATGTGAATACCATAGCCGCAGGTATCACCTTACAAAGCCTTTGCTTTCACAGATATAAAACTGCCATGCATCTCAGTCTCTGTGTAATATCCGTTAGTCTCTTCCATATGTGGCTGTCATTGTCTTCAGGCTTTTCACCATCGTTATTCATGAGTCATCGATTCTGGCTAGGGAATTACAGTGTTTGCAGTGGTTTCGAGTCCGTCATCTAATCAAGAGAGTGGGTACTACAGTAGATTCCCAATATTTTCTCCCATATCACCAGCCGTCCGACTGTTCTTCATGAATTCCATTCAAATCCCTCGACCATTCTATTATTACTGCGGCTGACGAAGTTGCGGTGGTTTAGACACGTGCTACTCATACCCGACCGCCTCTTACTGAGGGCTAATTGGGGCGCACTAGTGCCACCGGCTTCTCATCGGGATTCCGGGACATAAGTTAGGTAAATGAGAGGTTGTCGCTCGTTACATTTTATAAGCAGTTACTTGTTTCATGCTTCTGCGCTTCATGTCTCAGTACTTGTCCCTAGTCCTTTGCTCCTCACCTTTTTGATCCTCTTCTTTCAGGCCTGCCATCAATCCCCCTGCTGAGGTAGATGACCCAAATGACAAGCGTCCCGACGACTGGGATGACAGAGAGTCCATTGTCGATTCAAATGCCGTTAAGCCAGAAGACTGGGACGAGGACGCCCCAGAATACATCACAGACGAGAGCGCTACTAAGCCCGAGGGGTGGTTGGATGATGAGCCCGAAATGGTCCCTGATCTAAGCGTAAAGAAGCCTGATGACTGGTACGTTTTTTTGCATCACAATTTTGTTCTCTTCGAATTGAGCGATCCTTTCGCTAGTCATTGCCTCTATTTTCTGCTTTCTATCTTATGCTCTGGAGTTCATCGGTTGTTCTGCATTGAAACTACGATACTGGATAATTCTTTCCTGCCTAGGGACCGGGAGACCCTCACAGTGCCCATAGCTCACGCGCTACTGGTGATGGTTGCGCGGCAGCGAACCGTCGATTCCGTGTACCAGCGTACTGACGATGTGTTTGCCTTTTTTCTCCTTTTTTACTGGATGATCTTCCACTTTGTCGTTTTATGCTTTCCTCTTTTTCAGGGACACCGAAATCGACGGAGAATGGAAGCCCCCCCAAATAAGGAATGAAAAATGTTTGAGCGCTCCCGGATGTGGCGAATGGCAGAAACCACAGATTAGAAATCCCAAATACAAAGGCAAATGGGTCCCTCCAATGATTCCTAATCCAGCCTACAAAGGTGTCTGGAAACCTGCCAAGATTCCCAACCCGAACTATTTCAAGGACGACAACCCTTTCAGAAGTTTGTCTCCATTCGTACGTTTTATTTGCGCCTTGTATTTATGAATTTTCGCCAAGTACTTTGGATGGGTATTTCCACCGCATGTACTCTTCCGCCAAGCCAGCTGCTTTCCTTCCCAAAAATCCAGTTATCATTAAGGGGACACGGAATTTGAAAGACTGTCCGATTCACCTTTAAATTGTTGAACACTTTTAAGCGAATAGAAAAAGTCTCCGCCCATTTGGCTATCCTGAATCAAGCAATTCAGATGTCTAGAGCATTCTCCGTTTGGTTAACATGTGGACATTGCTGGCCCGCTACCGTTGTTGATTTTGTTGTGCAAGATCGCGGTCCTTGGAAGTGGTATAGTCTACCAGTTTTACATCCACGGAACATCTGCTCAAAGTCACCGATTGTTTCCTTTATTTGAGCGGCTTTATCACCACAAATATTCTCACCACCTGGGAGATTACTGCATGTTTCAAAGCTTTTCAGTTAAGAAGACAGTGGGCTTACCAGTTAGAGGAAGGTTGTGCTCATGTCTGGTGAAAACACCGCGTGAGCAATTTGCGTGTTTTCGACGTCTCGCATTTGGTTCAGGAAGAGCGAGTTAACCGATCAGCACAGTTATTCCATGAACTAGGCTCCGATGGCTGAGCTGCGTGTTGCGCATGCCAGCACACCGACTCCTTCAATCTGCATTGTTTGCTCGCCGAGGGGCCTGGATAAAAGAAAGGCTAACCGATGACTTGGTTCAGAGGAATGAAGGCGCTGACTTTACATTTGGCTTCGGTTGTTTTCTTTTGATTGCCGGGCTGTGGTCCCCAGGATGTTGAATACGTTTGGTTGGATACACTAGTTGACATGACGAGAAGTCGACCTCGAAGGCGTTTTTGTTGTCTTTGTCCCTCCCTCCCCCTCTCTAAGTACGATCTCATACGCGACGCATAATATTAGTTACCTGTTTTTGGTTCCAACTTTGTATTCCTTAGTGTTTTCAGTAGCTGAGGCGTTTCTCACTTTTAGCTCACGTGTAACCTCAGTGCCAGATTGTACGTCGCTACGATGTTGCTATGTTGATCATAAACTTAGTCTGTGCTCGCTGAAGACATTAGACAATATACAGTTAATGCAAGGTATCGCTCATGGTTGCTCTAAAGAACCGACTAAATGATCCTTAAATCCATTATCTGCTGCTCGGCAGCGGACCTTCCTGTGTCTCACTTGGAAAAGAAGAAAGATACCAGCAGTACGCTGGTACGTAGTACCGACGCTTCGCTACCGCACAACCACCAACGGTCACGCGCGGGCTACGGATACCGCGAGAGTCGCCCGATCCCCTACGCAGGCTTGAACCCGCGTACTTGGATTACAAAGCAGGCTTGTTATCCTTTAGGCTACAGGCCTCACTTTACGAATCGCTTCCGATGGCTCAGTCATGTACTTACAAATCAACTGCCTCAATGTGTATTATCTACGGATACATCGCCTACTTAAAGGAGACTCCGAGGTGGTCAGTCGTCAACATGGCGAATCAAGTTAACGTTTATCCTCACCCTGGATGTAGATCTCAGCGTCTACCGCAACAATGGCTTGATATGACAGACATTAATTCGGTAGCGCTCTTGCATTTGTTTCCTAATCGCTGACCCTTAATTACTCCATCTTAAGATTTTATCCTTAACTAATTCTTCTTATCATTTTGTCTGCGTGGTTCGAGGCAACTTGATCTACCTCGCCTCGGTGCATAGAATTTAGTTATCACACTAAGATAAACGAAGCTTCACACTGATAATCCAGTGCTGTCACGCATTCGTTTGTCTCTACTTAAGATGAAACATCCAACATTTCGTGGGATAGACTCCTTTTCGATCTTCACGGAATCCCACGATCACGCTCCGGGATTGCGCTTGCTTTCCCCCATTATTAACTCAACATTATTAACTCAAACTTAGGTCAGGTATCCACTGACTGCACTTCTGTATCAATGTTAAAAGGAGTGCTACCTAAACACTGGATCACTGGACCCTCTATTGACAAAACAATAACAGATATACTGCTGTTGATGATGATCATCAGCAACATCAGGGCATCAGCCGCTTGAACTGATGTTTCGCTGCCATACAACCTTAACGTCCTCCACAACGGAGAATATTAAGAGGGAGAGACTGGGGAGTTACCGGGGAACCTTCATGCCCTAAGCAAACATTCAGGGTCACGGTGCCTACACCTTGTCAACAACATACCATCACGAGCTGAGTGATTATTGTACAGACGTTTCGTTGCCTGACTAGGCAACATCATCAGTGCGGCTTCAGGGGCCTGGTTCGCAGTGCCTCGTAAGCGATTTCAATGTCCAAGTGCTTATTGATCGAGTTCTGCTTTGAATACCAGGCTTCAATGAACTCACGTGCTTGCCGGCTTTTAGCCCTTCCGAGGATACTGACATGCTCTATATCGAATTGATGATTCTCAGCATCCATATGCACTGACATCAGGGAGGTCTGATCGTGGCGACGTATGGCTAGGCTGTGTTCGTGTAGCCTTGTGCCAAGCTTTCTCCCAGTCTGCCCCCACGTAGTATTTGTCGCAGTTCCGGCAGCAGATCTTATAAATCACACCAGTTTCTTCCTCTTTGCTAAGTTTATCTTTCACTTGGAAGAGTTTACTGCGAGTGGTTTCCGTTGGCTGGAGTGCAACTTTGACTCCAAAAGGCACTAAAAGCCTCGCTGCCATTTCAGAGATACCGTTGATATAGGGCAGTGTTGTTCTTTTCAGTTGTTATATTTGTCGAGGTGTGTCTAGCAACATTTTGTGATGCGAGGCAGCGTAGGATGAAGCCTTTTGGGTACGAGTTCCACTTGAACAGATTGGAGAGATGATCTTCCTCTGCCCGTCTCAGCTGCGGTGTGCTACAGTGGGTTTGTGCTCGTTTGAAAAGGGTTTGCACGCAGATGCGTTTGTGGGCTGCCGGGTGATTGCTGCCGTAGTTGAGGATCTGGTCCGTATGCGTAGATTTTCGGTAGACTGTTGTTTCCAATCGTTCAGCACCAGTCCGTCGTATGAGAACGTCTAAGAATGGTAACTGCTCCTTGTTCTCCTCCTCCCTGGTGAATTGGATGCCATCGAGCACACTGTTGATTAGTTCGTGTGTTTCCTCCAATTTGGAACGTTTGAGGATGACGAAGGGGTCGTCTACGTATCGTACCCAAAGTTTTGGTCTCGCGATCGGAAGTACTATTTGTTCCAGCGCCTGCATCACTGCCTCGGCTATTAGACCAGATATCGGCGATCCCATTGGCGTGCCTCTTATCTGTTCCTAAATCTGGCCATTGAAAGTGAAATGTGTTGTTAGACAGAATTCCAATAACCCCATCATCTGTTTGGGTTCCGGTTCACTGTTTGTATCAGACGACGTGTGCTCCTCTAGCAGGCGCGCCATTGTTTGTTTCGCCAAGTCAATGTCGATTGAAGTGAACAAAGCGGTAACATCGAAAGAGACCATTATTTCGTCTCGTTCAATGGTTGCGGTTTTAAGTTTCTCAAGGAACTGTTCTGCCGAGTTGATCGAGTGTTCCGATCCCGCGATTAAGTGTTTTAGCCGTCTCCAGAGCTCCTTTGTAAGCCTGTAATCTGGTGCTCCAGGTAGCGACACGATGGGGCGAAACGACACTCCGCTTTTGTGTACTTTAGGTAAGCCATAGAACCGCGGTATTACCGAGTCTCGTGGTCGCATCCTCTTGTGTTCCAATTTTGTGATTTTCCCCATTTGTTCCAGTTTCTGCAGAGTGCGTCTGATGTTGCCTTCTAAGCGTTTTGTCGGGTCTTCCTTTATCGGCTGGTATGTGTTGGTATCACTGAGTAGGTGTTGTGCCTTCATCATGTAATCAGATTTGTCCATTACAACAGTAAGGCGTCCTTTGTCGGCCGGCAGTATAACTATGGTTTTGTCTTTCTTGAGGTCCTCCAGAGCTTTCCGTTCAGCGGCGTTGAATATGTTAGTTTCAGCTTTATGACTGAGAGCCGGGATGATTCTGTGTCTGACCTTTTGTTTTGCTTCAGGCGCGATGTTGTACGATTTTAGGGTCGATTCAAGTGCAGCTCAAAATCCGCATTCCCACCCTGAGCTACGGATATTCTCATTTATTTCAAAACATACCATCATCGACAGCTGCCTGTCGTGCAAAGATAAGGCGGCATCGACGAGACAGCTTCCTTGCGGCTTCTACTGCCACGCGTCATAACCAGTCACTGCCTTGCAGATAACTCAGCACCAAACACATGTTGAACGGATAGTCTGACTAGGAGACGGCAGCAGATGCACCACTGGTGTCGACAGCGAGCCATTTCTTGTAAAGTCTCGAGGCAAGCACAAGGCTAGTCATACGGACTCCGGACTGGAAGACGAGACGGACCGACGGCACCAAGTTTGGTTGTCAGTGACTTCCTTTCCCGCTGCCAAGTCAATCTTTGTCCACCACGAGTCTTGCGCCATCCTACATCTGTCAAACAAAACAAGGCCCTTCTCAGTAAGCGGTGATCAGGCATACGTAGTACGTGCCCAAGCCAACGCAACTTACTCATTGCTATCTGTTTTCTGAGGATCTAGTTTGAGTATCACTGTCTAGCACTCGCCTACGCACATCATCGTTGCGAACACGCTGGTGCCATCCGACACCAGCAATGCTCTGCAGACAGCGATGATCAACCACTTGGAGGCGCCTTAGATCTTCAGACCGAAGGGGCCAATTCTCACTCCCATAGAGCATGACGGCTCTCACGGTGGCCTTGTGTACACTGTCTTTTGGACACAGGGAAATTCTCATCTGTCGCCAAAGAGGTGGCAGATTCAAAAATGCAGTTCCGACTCTTACAATACGTGAACTGACCTCAGTAGCTATGCACCCATCATAAGTGAATTGACCAAATACCTCGATTTCGTCGCTATCTAGGGTCAAGGTATCAACAAGTGGCTGGTGGTCCTGCAGCAACACTGCACTTTGGAGGTGCGAAGCGCATACCAAATAATGGAACC